AGAGAGCACACATGCAGCAGCAGAGCACAGCCATGCAGCAGCAGAGCACAGCCATGCAGTACAGGGTACGAGAGTGGAATGAGGCAGCAGCCAAGATGAGCACCACAGAACACCGTACGCGATACCAAACACCTCGTACAGGTCCAGCATCATCCCATTTTCTGCTCGCCCTGCCTGGAGCACAGATGCACAGCACGCACACAGATGGTACGGCGGCGGCAGGCAAGAGAGCAGGACGAGGTGACTTTTGCGTCGACTCGAAAGCAGGACGAGGTGACTTTTGAGTCGACTCAAAAGCAAGACGAGCAAGACGAGATGACTTTTGAGTCGACTCAAAAGCAGGACGAGCAGGACGATTGGTGCGCCTTAAAAAAGTTGAGAAGAGCATGGCGCTGCATGCACGTCGTGCATGTCGTGCATGCCGTGCATGTCGTGCATGCCGTGCATGTCGTGCATGCCGTGCATGTCGTGCATGCCGTGCATGCCGTGCATGCCGTGCATGTCGTGCATGCTGTGCATGCCGTGCATGTCGTGCATGCCGTGCCTGTCGTGCATGTCGTGCATGCCGTGCTATGCCAAACAACACCAGGTAGTAATCCAACATGAGTGATCATGAACTCTGGAAAAAAACACCTTTGCTGAGCTTTCAGTGAACGCTCTAAAGCAGAAGCACGAGCAGAGAAGCACCGATGCTAGTAGGTAGGAAGTACCGGTGCTGAGGTGACGAGGATGAGTAGGACGAGAAATGTGGGGAATGGAGGGGACTACCATGTATGCTGCATGTTAATGCGCAAGAATGGAAAAGTACCCACAGGCGCTGGTGCGGATGAGCACTTGCAGAAGGGTGCCACCATAGTAGGTCACCATGGCATGCCATAGTAGGTCACCATGGCATGCCATAGTAGGTCACCATGGCATGCCATAGTAGGTCACCATGTCATGCCATGAACATGAACATGTGCTGATGAGGAAGTGCTCTTGCAGTTTTAGTGAAATCACTTTTGAGTATCTCCTCTATTGAAATCGCTTTTGAGAATCTCCTCTATTGAAATCACTTTTGAGAATCTCCTCTATTGAAATCACTTTTGAGAATCTCCTCTATTGAAATCACTTTTGAAATTTCCTCTCAAAAGTGATTTCAATGTGCTGATGCGGAAGAGCTCTTGCGGTTTTTGACTGGTGACGCCATAATTCAGATGTGCATGGGAATACACATGTGCATGTAACACCATGGCGTGGCGTACCTGTGCTCATATTCCTTCATGAAATGCGGAAGTGAGCGGTGCGAGCAGGCATGATCGAGAACCCACCTGTGTTGATAAGAATGAGCACTTGCAGGAGGGTGACGCCGTAATAAGACACCATGGCATGACCCACCGCGAGCCCAACGAACTCCATCCATGCCTGCACACGTGCATGTATGCATGTATGCATGTATGGAAGGAAGAGCACATGTGCTACTGAAGATGAGTTCTCGCGCTAGGACAGATTTGGCGGTTTTTTAAAATACATGGGTGCACGAGACCGTGGCATGGCATGACCCACCGCGAGCCCAACTAACTCCATCCATGCCTGTACGCATGTATGTATCCATGCATGGTGATGCGGCCATGTGCAGGGTCATTTCATGATGGGGTATCAGGTAAAGGGTAGTTTCATAAGGTCATGAAATCGTGAGGACCAGCAAACTCCGTCAATGCCATACCAGCATGCTTACAAGGTGATGGGTGCAGGGGGGAGTTGTTACACTGCGTCGTGTAAAAAGGTCAACTTGGTCATAACTTATGACATGTTTGGAGCACTTCAAAACAGCGTTCCACTGATGGTGCCATATCATGCTATAGCGTAATCTTATTATATCAAATCGTATCATATTTCATCATCGGTTCCAGTAGGTATTGATGTTTGAGCCATTATGCGATGGAGTGGGGGTGGGGCATGTGGGTGGGTGTGAATGGGAGGTGAAAGAACGGCACACTTCAAGTGAAACCGTAACTAGATCGAAACAAATTAAATCGCATTTCGTGGTGAATCAAATCAGATCGCATCTCACCGTGATGAACGACGCAAGTGGGCCCCACTTTGGCCCTGCCAGAGCTGCCGCCCAAAAATAGAGCGAGCCAGCTGTCTGGAGGAAGAGGATAGGGAAATCAGAAGGGGAGCAAGGGGGGCGGGGGAGGGTTTGGGGGGGGGGAGGGAGTTGGATGGTGGGGAGGGGGGGGGTGGGGGAAGGAAAGAGATGTAATGGATCGATAGAGATGGAGCGGAGGAGGGTAGGGTGGGAAGGAGGTGAGGAGGAGGTCTGGGCTTAGAAAACGGTAGGGTGGATGGAGGTGAGGGGGGGACGTTACTAGATGTTGTTCTCAGGTAGGAAATGGTTATATCTGACCAGTGGTAGTTTGGGCTGTTTAGCCTTGAGCTCTCTTTGATGATCTTAGTTCTGATTATCTCTAACATTCGATTATTTCAAGGTTTTAATTCACCAGAAAGGGCTTGCATGGTTTGGTTGGTTGGCTTTATCATGCAGCGAGAATTTACTGAGGAGAAGATTTCAGCCATGCTGCTAAGAGAGATGAATTGTGAAGGCTACAGATGGGCTTGTAGACTTCTGAGCCGACTCAAAAAAAAAAAAAAACTGAGGAGGTGGGAATTTTAGCCGTGTTGCTTGCTAAGAGAGGTGAACTAGGCAGGTTAGAGATGCCCTAGTAGCCAACACCGGTTTCCACCGCTTTCAACCGTTCTCTTCCACTTACAGGGAAGGAGGAGGAGATTTCTGCCATGCTGAGAGCGATGAGGTGCACTGCAACGGCTGTGATCCACCAGTACCAGATGAGCCCTCCTGGCCCACCGTCATGGAAGCCTTGTCTGTTGGTGGGGCGGAGAGGCAGAGAATACAGAACAGTACAGTACAGTACAGTGCAGTACAGTACAGTACAGTACAGTACAGTGCAGTGCAAAGAGGTGACTGAGGTGCACTGCTACAGCTGTGATCCACCAGTACCAGATCAGCCCTGCTGGGCCGCCATCGTTGAACCCTTGTCTGTTGGTGGGTGGGAGGGTGAGTGATGAGAAGGGGAAATAGGTGCAAAGTGGTGCAATGAGGTGGACTGAGGTGCACTGCTACAGGTGTGATCCACCAGTACCAGATCAGCCCTGCTGGGCCACCGTCATTGAACCCTTGGCTGTTGGTGGGAGAATGGAGAGAGAAGTGGTTCATTGCGGTACAAGGAGGAGGTGAAATGCGGTGCTATGAGGTGCAGCGCAGGTGCACCGCAACGGCTGTGATCCACCCTGCTGGCCCACCATCATTGAATTCTTGCCTGTTGTTGGTACAGGGGAGGGGGTACAGTCCAGTGCAATGAGGTGGACTGAGGTGCACTGCTACAGCTGTGATCCACCAGTACCAGATCAGCCCTGCTGGACCTCCGTCGTTGAACCCTTGTCTGTTGGTGGAAGGGAGAACAGGAAATGGGTGCAAAGAGGTGCAGTGAGGTGCCATGCTGAGAGCGATGAGGTGCACTGCCACGGCTGTGTGATCCACCAGTACCTGATCAGCCCTGCTGGCCCGCCATCGTTAAAGCCTTGCCTGTTAATGTTGGAGATAGGGAAAGATATAGAGGTGCAGTGCGGTGCGATGAGGTGCAGTGCAGTGCGGTGCAAAGAGGTGGACTGGGGCGCTGCAACGGCTATGATCCACCATCATAGGACCCTTGTCTGTCGGTGGGATGGAAGGGGAGTAATTACAGAGGTGCAGTGCGGTGCAATAAGGCGCACTGCTACCGCCGTGATCCATCAGAACCAGACAAGCCCTGCCGGCCCACCATTGTGAAAGCCTTGTGTGCATTGCAAGTCAGAGAGAGGTGGGGGTGGGGCGACATGATTGGAAGAAGGGTACGCGGAGGAGAAGGAGGCAGAGGCGGAGGGGAGTGGAAGGAGCAGAGAGGAGAGCAATCTGAGGCGTTGAGAGGCACTGAGAGACACTGAGAGACATTGAGAGGCATTGAGAGACATTGAGAGGCATTGAGAGGCATTGAGAGGCATTGAGAGGCATTGAGAGGCATTGAGAGACATTGGAGGAAAGCATTGAGAGGGAGATGAATTGGAAATGAGAGGGGGAAAGAGAGGATTGGGAAGGTGATCGGAAAGGGGACGTGAGAAAGGGGAATGTGTGAGGTTGGAAGGTGTGATGGGGGAGTGAGGTGGGGAGATGGAAGAGGGAGATGAGAAGGGGAAGGTGACAGGAGGGAGATGAAAGAGGGAAAGATAAGACAGGGGCGGTAAGTGGAGGGAGGTGAGTGAAAAGGACTTAAGGGGGGAAACGCCTTGACTCGAAGCCACAATCATGGAGTCATTGCACGGGGGTAGAATAGAAGTCATTCGACTGTAAACGCGATAAAAAGGCAAAACTTGAATCACATTATGTACGCATATTATTAGGAGCACATTAATAACGCGTACATAGGGACAAGGAATAGTTACTTACGCGTACATGGGGACCACCCCCGCGAACACGCTCATCATGCTGATGCCCGTCGCGTACAGCTGCGGAAAATGCTGTTTGCAGAGAGAAACATCGAAACGAACCGGGGGGAAGAAATAGATAACGAGTGACTCAAAACCGGAGGTAACATGCGTTGAATAAAGTTATGCCTAGTTTGGTCGCTCTCAGAAGCAAGCACAAGTAAATGGACCTAGATCCGAAACCCAGCATGCACCGTTTACAAGGGGGATGATGAGAGGGAAGTCGGGTGGGTGGGATAGCGTCAAGAGTCGTGAGTTTCTGAGAATCCCCAAACTCCCTCTCGCGGGAAACGTTACAAGCCTCCTAACCGCATTACTCTCAAGATGCGCCGCTCACCGGGAAACGATTCGGCTCCTGCCGGTAACCGAGCTTGTTGAGCCGCCTTGACTTAGGCAGTTTTAAGGTTCTTCAAAAGGCGATTCGCCACGCCTAAACCCACCCACATCGTAAGATACGCTTTTTTCCATTTAACGCCTACCAGGGGAAACCACCTTCAAACGGAACACTTACCAGCGAACGCTTCAGCTCCTGCCGGTAACCAAGTTCGTTAAGCCGCCGTTCGCCCGAGTCGAGCGCGAGCGACATGGTAACCCCATCCTCCATCGTGATTTCGAGAATCTTCTGCTCTTCGCCAATGTCGTCGTCGTGTCGCTCGATCATCGCCACCACCGCGGCGCCTTGAAACGCGGACGCCTCCGAGTACAGCTGCATCTCCTCGCGCTCCATCGCGCCGCCGTCGCCGCCGCCGTCCGCGGCGCTTCCGTTCTTCTCCGCCGAGCCGTCGCCGCCACCGTGCTCCTCGTATTCCTCCGCCGCGCCCATGGCTGAAAGCGCGCCGCGAGAGAGAGCGAACTCTTGGGAACTATTTGTAGAGGCAGGCTTCGTGTGTTAACAGACGTTTATACGCGTCGCGCGCAGGGCCGGAAAACGTTGGCTCGAACCTAAAAAGGTCACGGGAGGGGGAGGGAAGAGGGAAGGGGTTGGGGGGGTGGGCGAGGGGAAGGAGGAGCGGGGGGAAGGGGTGGGGGGAAGGGGTGGGGGGGATGGACGCAAGGACGCACGGACGGACGGGATGAACGAGACGGAAAGGAATGGACGGATTTGGAAGACTTCTTTCTTTGTGAAGAGCGGTTCGGCTGCGACTCGAGCTGTAAATGAGGAGCTTCGAACGACTGGGGCGTGGAGGCAACGCGATATAAGAGAATTTTTTAGACGTCTAAAATTCTCACTTCTATCGCATGGAGGCAATGCAAGCGCGCTGGAAACGGCTGGCACGCGGCGCGTGCTGCTACGTGCAACGTGCAATGCGCTGGGAAATGATTTACGCGCAATGCGCTACGGCGGATTGCACGTTGCACGCATGATGCCTCGTCGACGAAACGACGCAAAAAAGTCGGCGGCCTCAGTCTGTCAGGCATTCTGCGCTTGATTTAGGTACCCCTTGAAGTCGCTTTCGGTTTTTGAGCCGACTCAAAACGGAAGAGACTTTAGAGCCGACACGAAGGTCACCCCATTCTGCGCATCATGGCTTGCTCATATGTACCTGCTTTTGAAACGACTGTAGCAAGGAAAATATTAGGTAGCTACTCTTATCGATGCTTTCTCGACTCGCGCCACGAGCTCCCACTACGGACTCTAACGGATTCTAGGAGGGTTTACGCATGACGTGGATAGAATGGGAGCGTTTGAGCAGCTGGACACAGCTACAAAAAGAGCGAGGGAAGGGAAAGGCACGAAGGTCGGTGAAAAGAAGGGATGAGTTGAGACCGACAAGGCTGGGTGGGACCGAGAGAGGTCCTGAGAGGTAGTTATTACTGTAATGTAACTGCAATGGACAGGACATGATATGCAAACGTGCACCCTGAGGTCATGGCGAGTGTGGGCTGGGTTTGCGGGTGCGACTCGACTCGACTCAAGCGAGACAGGCTGGAAGGGCCATCATGAGAAGCGACCCTCCCTCTCTCACAAGGCTTGAGCGGGAAAGACTATTGGAAGATATTTCCTCTTTCGAAGAACACAATTTTCCCCATCGAAGGAAAACTTTACAGAATTTATGGGGTATTTTACTTCCCGCCATCCTTCAAAAATTGCTCTTGGTACAAAACATTTGAGTGGGCATGGATGACGCTTAAAGCCCGAGGTCAGCATGGTATTTGGGAAATTTTTCGAATGGCTTTAACGGGTTTGGCGAAAGACAAAAAACCAAGCGAGGACGAAATCAGCTAACGAGCGGATGGGATATTCGTCACTCATCTGTGCGACACCTGTCTCCTTGGGGTGAGAAGCCCATAGCTGGTCACATCAAATGCGTATGTCTGACAGAGCAATAATCCATGATAGGTAAGCGCGATAGGGAATCATCCCGAGAGCGCATCGTTGTAGGAAATCGAAAGGTTTTAGGGAACTTCACAAGCGCATGTACAAACTAGTCATTGTGGGAGCGCACCTCTCAGTGCGTCAGAAGTCGCGCCACCCCTCTCTTTATCGAGCTTCTCCTCCCCTCGTCGTGCCTCCCCTCGTCGCGCCTCCCCTCCCACCGTCGCGCCATACAATGTCACGCCACCCGTCGTTTCGTGGGGCATCCCCTTGTGCCTCGCTTCCCGTCGTACTCCGGCGCCTCCCCTCCCCTCGTCGCGTAGTAGCGCTCCCATCCGATAATCGCTCTCCCATCCGCCCGTAGCTCTCCCTTCCGCCCGTCAGCGCGCCCGAGTCGCGAGCTTTTCCTTCCGCCCGTCAGCGCGCCCGAGTCACGAGCTTTTCCGTCCGTCCGTCGCTCGCCAATCGGCACGTAGCGCTCCCCTCCGCCCATCGCTCTCCCTTCCGTCTTTCGCTGTACCTTCCGCCCGTAGCCCTCCCTTCCGCCCGTCGTTCTCCCTTCCACCGTCGCCCTTCTTTCCCGTCGTCGTCCACCCTTCCGCCCGTAACCCTCCCTTCTTCCCATCGCCATCCCTTCTTCCCATCCCCATCCCTTCTTCCCATCGCCATCCCTTCTTCCCATCGCCATCCCTTCTTCCCATCGCCATCCTTCCTTCCCATCGCCATCCCTTCTTCTCATCGCCCTCCCTGCCGCTCGTTGCAATCCCTGCCGCTTGTCCCCTCGCTTTCCCCGTCAACCTGTCTCCTTGTCCGCCGTCGCAAAGGCGAGGGTTCCCTCTCTCCCCGTCTCCTTGCTTTCCCCGTCTCCTCGCTTTCCTCGTCTCCTCGCTTTCCCCGTCTCCTCGCTTTCCCCGTTCCATCAAATGCTCGTCGCCCTCGCCTTCCTTCCCGTCTCCCTTCCCATCTCGCACATTTGTCACCCTTCCATCTCTCCCCCCACTCACTCCCTTCCTTCCACCCAACAATCCCCATCAATCCCCCACTTATACCCCCCCCTGCCCTGCTTACCTCTCTCCCTATTCCCACCATTCTCTGCCCTGCTCCCCACCATCCTCTGCCCTGCTCTCTCCCCGGCATCTGCCCCCGTACCCCCCATCCCATTCCCTACGTAAACGCGCCCCCCTTGCCCTGCTTCCCCCCATCCTCTGACAAGCTCCTCCCCTGCTCTTCCGCGCACAGGGATAGTGGTCGGTGGAGTAAGACGTGGAGAAGCACAGGGTGAAGGCAAAATGGGGCCGCGGCAAAAAATGAAGATGGGCAGAACTCTCACAAAACTCTCTCACACATCCCCTCTTCCTGCCCTCTCTTGGCCATCCCTCCAAAGGCGATCTCCTCATACCCCCTCCGCTTCTCCTCCGTCCCCCCTCCGCTTCTCCTCCTTCCCCCCTCCGCTTCTCCTCCTTCCTCCCTCCACTTCTCCTCCGTCCCCCCTCCGCTTCTCCTCATTCCCCCCTCCTCCTTCCCCCCTTTGCTTCTCCTCCTTCCCCCCTCCACTTCTCCTCATTCCCTCCTTGTTTTCCCCTCTGCTTCCTCCTGTGCAGGGACTTCACATTCTCTCTGTGCTTCTCTGTCCCCTGGTCCCCCCTGGTCCCCCATGCGCACCCCTGTGCCCATCAGGTGGTGGACGAAGCAGGCCGCTTGCTGCCTGTGATACCATAATTGACTGCCGTTCATCCTCACCCTGTGCCCGCTGTGCCCCCTATGTCCCCTCGGCCTCCCCATTCCTCCCCATGCCTCCCCATGCCTCCCTCCGTGCACCCCCTGCACCCCCTCTCGCCCGCATCAGGTGGTGGTGGAGGCGGACCGGCTGCTGCGCCAGTTCTACCACGACTGGCTGCATGCTGACGTGGCAGTGAGCGTGCCAGTTCTGTGCGGCGTCATGCATGCACATGGCGGTGGCAGCGTGAGTGGTGTTCTCCCCACTCCATTCATCCACGGCCTGCAATCTCTGTGAGCCCTCAACGGTCACCTCAGCTCCTGTGCGTTGCTGCTATGTGCCTCTGCCATGCTGGTGTTACCTCATCTGAACGGGAGGCGTCCTCTCGCCCTCCCCATTCCCTTTATCCATGGTTTGTGATCCTCTTGAGCCCTCAGCCGTCACCGGATGCTACGCGGTGCTGCTACATGCCGCTGCTACGTGCCCGTGCCTTGTGGTTGCTGTGTGCATTTGACCTGCAGCCACTTGACTGACGCTGCTATGAGCCATTGCCTTGCGCTCGTGTCACCTCACCGTGCTTTCACCGTGTTTGTGTCGTTGCTGCATGCGGCGCACAGCCTCTTCCTGCTGCTCTCCGCCTTTCCCCCCGCCTCGCTGCCCGTCGCCTCTGCTGAGTTCTCCTCCCACCAGCCGCAGCTCTAGCGCAGGTTGACTACGATGTTGTGCGTTCAAGACCGGCATGTGTGCTTCACCGAAGTGCTACTTACCAGCTTGAACATAGTGACTTATGAGCTGTATACTCACCCCGTATGACTCGCCTTATGCCAATCCACTTGTTGGGTTCTATGGTTGGCCTTGGCGAATTATGTTGCATGTGTTTGGTAGGGACCATAACTTACACACCTAGGTTCATATTGTGCTCACTGCATCTCTTACTATTACCGTACGATATTTGTGAAAATCCTCGTCTGTTACGGTACCCAAATTCCCTTGAAAGGAATAGAGAGGCGTCTGGCTTCGGTTTCTCAGAAGTGCTGCACTCACAACACTGCCAATTGCATAATCGGAAACGTCAGCAGCAACCGCAATAGGGCCCGTATTGACATGTTGCATCACGAAGAAGAGCTCGGGTCAACACCGAGATATGGGCATACACAATACACCCCTTCTACCACTATCATCACAGATAACCCCAGCTTCTTCAGGTACATAGGGAAGCATTTCTCACAGCCGCTAGAGTGCTCTAAGAGTGCCTCTGGCGTGCTGGCAGGCAACAGACTGCCATGGTCACGACTCGCAAACACTGCAATGTGCAGCACCAGTTGAGGCATGCACAGTGAGCTTGCCTTATGTTCTGGCACTGCAGCATGTCAGTCTCTGCACGCCACACAACATGCCCTGCCATTCCCTGCACCACTCTGCACTCCCCCAGCCCACAGCAGCGCATTCCAGCCGTGCCCCACCTTGCATGCCTTGACGTGCGCTGCCGCCAGCATTACTGCCAGCCTGCCTTCCCCTCCTGCATCAACGCTCTGCGGCATCTTGCTGACACTGCCAATCTCCATATCCTGCCACGCACCTGCCTGCCTTCACCCTGTGCTTGCCGTTCCCCCTTCCTCCCACACCACGCCGCACTGACCATGCCGCACACCAAACTCCATTACCTCTGCCCCATGATCCACCTTCAACTCCTTGCCCGCAAAGTGTTGACTGTCTGGCAGAGCAGCTTCCAAGTATGGGGCAGCAGGGGAGGCTGAAGGTAGTCTCGACAGGAGGCTGCCTCACAACTCCACCAGAAGAAGAGCCCATCTTGCAGAACCAACCAAAGAGTGATAATGCTCCATGAGCAGCGTGGCGGTGGCGCAGGTGCTGCTCTGGGCAGCTCCAGTCGAAAATCTGCTGGATGCGGGGCTTCGATGGCCTGCTGCGAGGAAGCAGAGGAGCAAAGGGGGAGGGAATGGGGAGAGAGTAGAGTGAGCAGACGAGCAATAGGGACTGCGTTGGCATATTGAAATGCACATGGTGTGGGGGAGGTGGGAGGGAAGGCGTGGGCAGCAGGGTTGACTTGCCAGAGAATGGCGTTATCAGTGATTATCACGTCAAGCCGCTCCTCCAACATGCTCCACGCCACGTACACCTTCCGCCACACCTGCGCGCGGATGAGAAGGGAAGGATTTGAGGCGGTAAAGTGGGCAGGCGGTAAAGTGGACAGGCGATAAAGTGGGCAAGGATGAAGGAAGCAGAACAGAGGATGAGGGGAAGAGAGGGAAGAGGATGAGGGGAAGGGAGGGCACGGGATGAAGGAAAGGGAGGGCAGAGGATGAGGGGAAGCAGGGCAGGGGTAGAGAGGAAGCAGAGCAGAGGGTGGGGGAAAGTAGGTTCAGTGAAATGGCTAACACGGAGACAGGGAACAGGGAGAAAGGGAGAACCAGTGAAGGGGATGGGGGAAAGCAGGGAAGGGGATGGGGGGAAGGAGGGAAGGGGATGGGGGGAAGCAGGGAACAGGATGGGGGGAAGCAGTGAAGGGGATGGGGGGAAGCAGGGAACGGGATTGGGGGAAGCAGAAAAGGGGTTGGGGGAAAGCAGGGCAAGGGTTGGGGGAAAGCAGGGAAGGGGATTGGGGAAAGCAGGGAATGGAATGGGGGGAAGCAGGGAAGGGGATGGGGGGAAGGAGGGAATGGGATGGGGGGAAGCAGGGAACAGGATGGGGGGAAGCAGTGAAGGGGATGGGGGGAAGCAAGGAACGGGATTGGGGGAAGCAGAAAAGGGGTTGGGGGAAAGCAGGGCAAGGGTTGGGGGAAAGCAGGGAAGGGGATTGGGGAAAGCAGGGAACGGGATGGGGGGAAGCAGGGAAGGGGATGGGGGGAAGCAGGGAAGGGGATGGGGGGAAGCAGGGAAGGGGATGGGGGGAAGCAGGGAAGGGGATGGGTGGAAGCAGGGAAGGGGATAGGGGGAAGCAGGGAAGGGGATGGGGGGAAGCAGGGAAGGGGATGGGGGAAAGCAGGAAAGGGGATGGGTGGAAGCAGGGAAGGGGATAGGGGGAAGCAGGGAAGGGGATGCGTGGAATCAGGGAAGGGGATGGGTGGAAGCAGGGAAGGGGATGGGGGGAAGCAGGGAAGGGGATGGAAGAAAGGAGGGAAGGGGATGGGGGGAAGCAGGGAAGGGGATGGGGGGAAGCAGGGAAGGGGATGGGGGAAAGCAGGGAAGGGGATGGGGGGAAGCAGGGAAGGGGATGGGAGAAAGCAGGGAAGGGTGACAAGTGTGCACCATGGGAAGGGAGACGGGAGGGATGGCGAGGGCGATGGGGAGAGAGGAGGACGGGGACTGCGAGGGGACGAGCGGGAGGAAGGGCGACGAGACGAAGGGAAGGCGACGGGCGGAAGGGAGAGCGACGGACGGAATGGTGGGCGACCGGCGGAAGGGAGAGCGACGGACGGAAGGGTGGGCGACCGGCGGAAGGGAGAGCGGCGGGCGGAAGGGTGGGCGATGGGCGGAAGGGTGGGCGACGTGCGAAAGGGAGGGCGACGGGCGGAAGGGAGGGCGACGGGTGGAAGGGACGGTGACGAGAGCGACGTTCGGATGGGAGGGCGACGCGTGGAAGGTGGAGCAACGAGCGGATGAGAGGGGACGGGCGAAAGGCAGAGAGACGAGCAGGGCGACGCGCGGAAGGGAGGGCGACGAGCGGAACAGAGGGAGGCGAATGGAAGGGAGCGACGGTTGGAAGTGTGGGCGACAAATAGAAGGGAGCGCGATCGTGGACAACGCACGAGTAACGTGAGCCAAAGAACTGAAAGCGTCGTGGGCAAGTGAGGGCGAATAGGGGAACCTAAGCGACCAACAACCTAGCTCTAGACCAGGGAGAATATAGCAGCAGCATCTTGCGGGTGTTCGAACATGAGTTGTGTGAAAAAACGAAGTGACTTATTGGGCGTGAATGACGGGTGAACTATGTCTAGTATGCTTGACAATTAGTACAAGATGGTTTTCAAGTTCAGTTCAAGTGAACAGTGCTGCCTTGCCTGCTGACCGTAATCTCGATATGACTTTGAGTGTCGCTGGCCAATCACAGATCACTATCGTGAGAGAATGCTCCACTTCGGGTGGTAACATGGTTTTTGGCGAATTCATATTCAAGAATCTTGAAAATGAAAACAGCCATGTAGTACTCGGGCTTTAAGTCAGAAGTGATGGAAGCTGTAGGAGGTTATGGAATCTACTGTAATTGTTGAGCTTGCTGGTTCGAAAGGGAAACGGATAGAAATTGCGCAGATTTGAAGTCATACGATTTTATCATTATTTTACCATAGGCAGGCAAACAACTGGGAACTGCAGCCAACGAGCTGGCAAAAACAAGATTGGCATGTGGGGAGGAAGGGAAGGCTGCCCATTTGTTCTCCACGAAGAATATACTATCTGCGAAGAGGAACGAGAAAGTGCGAGAAGTGGTTGCGAAAAACGAGTTGACCGTTAGACTTTTCTTTCCCCAATGGGTATACAGAACAAGAGCTCGTTAGACGGAAACTGGGTAACAAGGGCTGGTTGGGTGGTTTGGAAGTCAGGTTCGGAATGGATGCAAAGCACCCTCACGAAACCAATTTGCGACGACTAGTGTCATACTGTGCTTGCGACGACCACACCCTTAGAACTTTAGTAGAGCGAAAAAAGTTGCTCCTCCTTGCGTTCTCCACCACGTGTGGTGCACCAGCAATGTTTCCATATAAACTTAGTTCATCAAACGATGACCTTAGGACTTGAAGCTTACCTTAGAAACGGTCCCCTGTCGCGGAATCGAGTGTGTCGGAGGCCGGGGATGCGGATGTGCAGCACGGTGAGAGGGTGTGGCGTCGTGTAATACCAACAATGCACGAAGATCCTAGATTCCCCTCCTATCACGCGGCCCGCCGACATCACTGTTCCCATTCTCGTCACCCGCGACTTCTCTTCCCGTCGCCCCCACTTCCTCGTCCAGTCACACGCACCTTCACTTCCCTTCGCCTTCATCCCAAAGTAGTAAATGCGAACCTGCATACTATGTACTATTAACGTGCTGTGTACTTACTAAGTAGCTACTCCTCTCCTGGGGGGTATGTACGCATATGTGCTGATACATACAAACTACTACTCACCGCGGCGTGGAGTAGGTACAATGTCCCAACCCTGCTCCTACTCCGCGGGGGTGGGGAGTTCACACAATGTATTTGCTGTGTCGCAACGCTACCCTTTGAGGTTGGCTGGCCATGCAGTACGTAGTGACTCGGTAGTAGCAAATTCGAAATAGTCCGTACAATAACTAATTACAGTGTAGCTACTACGCCCAACATTGTCAGACATTATATATGTTATGCTTGTGTAGGCTATAGTGGGTTAGCCTACAGGGGGTACACAATTCTAGGGTTTCCTACTTGTACTCATTTCACTGCTAGTTCATTCATTCCTGTTCGCTTATTCTCACATGGTATAGAGCGGGTCCTTCTAAGGACCGTTTTTTTTGGGCCCACCGAAGCGCGCCCCGAGGCGCGATTTTTTTAGCGACCCCTAGGGTCGCCTTTTCCCCTGCGGCTCAGCCGCCTCCACTGACGCGGCCCCGCCGCCCTCCCTTACGCGGCCCCGTCGCCGGCTCTCACGCGGCCCCGCCGCCGACTCTGTCGCGGCCCCGCCCCGGCCTTTACGCGGCCCAGCTGCCTGCTCTCACGCGGCCCCGCCCCGGCTCCTACGCGGCCCCGCCCCGGCCTTCACGCGGCCCCGCCGACGGCTCTGTCGCGGCCCCGCCGCCTACTCTCGCGCGGCCCCGCCCCGGCTTTCACGCGGCCCCGCCGACGGCTCTCTCGCGGCCCCGCCCCGGCTCTTCCGTGGCCCCGTCCCGGCTCTTACGCGGCCCCTGCCCCGGCTCTTACGCGGCCCTGCCGCCGGCTCTCTTGCGGCCCCGCCCCGGCTCTCACGTGGCCCCGCCGTCGGCCCTCTCCAGGCCCCGCTGCCGGCTCTCTTACGGCCCCGTCGCCGGCCCTGACGCGGCCCCTGCCCCGGCTCTCACGCGGCCCCGCCGCCGGCCCTCACGCGGCCCCTACCCGGCTCTCTTGCGGCCCCGCCACCGGCTCTGAAGCGGCCCCGCCCCGGCTCTCACGCGGCCCCGCCGCAGGCCCTCACGCGTCCCCGCCCCGGCTCTCTCACGCGGCCCCGCCGCCACACCTGCAGCAGTCGGGCGGCAGTGCAGCCGAACCGCCCGGGAGCCGAGCCGCCCAACGCCCGAGCCGCCCAGTCGCCGAGCCGCCCGGGACCCGAGCCGCCCTGCACCCGAGCCGCCTTGCCGCCAAGCCGCCCGGGAGCCGAGCCGCCCTGCACCCGAGCCGCCCTGCCGCCGAGCCGCTCGGGAGCCGAGCCGCCCTGCGCCCGAGCCGCCCAGCCGCCGAGCCGCCCGGGAGCCGAGCCGCTGTGCACCCGAGCCGCCCGGTCGCCGTGCAGCCTTTCTGCAGAGCTGCACGACCTGCCCTGCCTGGTGAGCACAGTCCCACTGTCACTGCGAGCTCTTTCCCTACTGCTTGCACTGCGTCGCTGTCGTCGCCATGGCTACCCCTAGTGTCCTAGCTTTTGACGCTGAGGGTCGCGCCATTGATTTTGAGGTCTGGTTAGACGACCTGCAGCTGTTCTTACAGTGCGACAGGGCTGACGGCCTTTCTCTCTTTGACCTCACCTCTGGCGCCTCTCCTGCTCCTGCTACTGATGCTGATCCTACTGTCCGCTCTCAGTGGGCCACCCGCGATGCTGCTGCACGTCTTGCTGTGCGTTGCCACCTCCCTACCTCTGAGCGTGCACACTTTAGTCAGTACAAGAGTGCTCAGACCTTGTACGACGCTGTAGTTGCGCGCTACTCCTCCCCTACCACTGCTGCACTGAGCCGTCTCATGCTTCCCTACCTCTTTCCTGACCTCTCTGCCTTTCCCACTGTCGCTGACCTCATTACGCACCTCCGCACTAGTGACACTCGCTACCGCGCCGCCCTTCCTGCTGAGTTCTGCGCTAAGAACCCACCCCCCATGTACATCGCTCTCTACTACGTAGTCGCGCGCCTCCCTGACTCCCTTCGCGTCGTCAGGGACCACTTTCTCGCAGTCTGTCCCACCACCCTCACCGTCGACCTCCTCGAGAAGGCCCTCCTCGCAGCGGAGAAGAGCATAGTCGCTGTAGGTGCTTCTCGTGGTGACCCTCGCACCCCCATCTTTGAGGGGTGCTCTCCTTCCCCCTTGCTGCCCTCTGTTGCCTCTGCTGCTGCTGCCGACCTGCTTGGTCTTGAGTCGGTCGGCGCGGCGTCTGCCCCTAGTGGGAGACGTCGCTCCAGCAAGGGCAAGGGGGGCAAGGGCGCGGGTGGAGCTGGAGGGGGCGGTGGCGGTGGCGGCGGTGGCGGCGGAGGGAGTGGGGGTGGCGGCGGGACTAGTGGCGGGGGTGGTGGTGGTGGTGGCAGCAGCGGCGGAGACGGTGGTGGTGGTGCCAGCGGTGGTGGTGGAGGCAGCGGCGGAGGTGGAGGCGGCGGTGGTGGAGGCGGTGGAGGCGGCAGCGGAGGAGGCGGTGGTGGTGGAGGAGGTGGAGCTGGTCGAGGTGGTACCCAGCAGCGTAGCGGCGGTGGTGGTGGCCAGCGCTCGCAGCGGCAGCAGCAGCAGCAGCGCTCGCGGGACATCCCTCCGCCTCAGCAGCTTCGTGAGTGGTACGCTGGGCGTCAGAGGGGTGGGGGTACTGGTCCCTGCACCTACGTTCTTCGTTCCGGCGACCGCGCGGGTGAGCAGTGTGGGGGTGCCCACGCCACCCAGCGCTGCTTTGGCCGCCTGACGGACGCTTGGCGTCAGCAGTTCCCTGGGGCTAGTGAGATCCCTCGCTGGGATGAGCTTCTTAGGGCTGGTGAAGCGATCTTTGATCTTGATTTTGATGCTATCCTTGCTGCTATGTATGCTGTGACTTATAGTGAGGAGAATGAGGGTTACCGGTGTTTCCAGCCCGACCCGGGCATTGGTACTGCTGCGCTAGGTGCTTGTGAGGCTGCTGCTCTAGGTGCCAGTGTGTCTGCGCTCTCAGGTACTGGTGAGACTGCGCTATCAGGTACTGCGTCGTCCTCGTCCTCCCTCACTTTCACACTTGACTCCGGGGCTTCTCGCTCCTTCTTTCGAGACCGCACTACCCTTACGCCGCTCGGCCGGCCGGTTGCGGTCTCCCTTGCTGACCCCTCAGGGGGTCCTGTCCTGTCTCACTTCTCCACTGTCCTCCCGTGTCCGGCTGCCCCTTCGGGCACCCTGTCTGGTCTGTACCTCCCCTCGTTCTCTACGAACTTGGTGAGTGGTGCGGACCCGCGGGATGCGGGGGTTCACCAGTTCACTCCTGCGAGTCAGCGGGTGACCCACTGCACGGACGCACGCACAGGCCGACACCTGGCCACCTTCTCGCGTCGGCCGGGGTCGAGTCTCTACACCCTGACCACTTCGTCTCCTCCTGTCCCTGCGTCTGGTCAGGTAGCTGCGTCAGGTCAGGTGCTTGCTGCTGCGTCCCGGTCAGGTCCTGAGTCTGCCCCCTGCTCTTGTCGCCTCCTGTCTCACGAGACTCTCCTGTGGCACCACCGTCTTGGCCACCCCTCCTTGCCCCGTCTTCGGAGCATGGCTTCCCGTGTCCTTGTCTCTGGTCTTCCCCAGTCTCTCCCTCCTCTCCCCTCCGGGCCAGGACCTTCCTGTGTCCCCTGTGTCGAGGGTCGCCTCCGGGCTACTCCTCACTCCTCCCACTTCCCCCCGACAGAGGCTCCCCTGCAGACGCTTCACATGGATGTGTGGGGCCCAGCCCCGGTCCGTGGGCAGGGTCACGAGCGCTACTTCCTGTTGGTGGTTGACGACTACTCGCGTTACACCACAGTCCTCCCCTTGCGCAGCAAGGGTGCGGTCACTGAGGTGCTGATCGACTGGATCCGCGAGGCTCGTCTCCAGCTCAGGAAGAGCTTCGGCTCGGACTTTCCTGTTCTGCGTCTGCACTCGGACAGAGGCGGAGAGTTCTCTTCTCGCCTTCTGCGAGACTTCTGTCGTGCACGGGGGATCCGCCAGACCTTCACGCTTCCGGACTCACCACAGCAAAATGGGATTGCTGAGCGCCGCATTGGCATGGTCATGGATGTCGCTCGTACGTCCATGATGCATGCGGCTGCCCCCCATTTTCTGTGGCCGTTTGCGGTGAGGTACGCGGCGCATCAGCTCAACCTTCACCCCCGGGTCTCTCGGCCTGCGATGTCCCCAGCCTTGCTGTGGACGGGGAAGGTCGGCGATGCGTCTGTGTTCCGTGTCTGGGGATCTCGGGCGTTTGTCCGCGACTTGTCTGCGGACAAGCTGTCCCCTCGTGCTGCTCCCTGTGTCTTCCTTGGCTTCCCCACTGACGCCCCAGGGTGGCAGTTTTACCACCCCTCCTCTCGTCGTGTTCTGTCCTCCCAGGACGTCACGTTCGACGAGTCAGTCCCCTTCTACCGTCTCTTCCCCTACCGCACTCCTTCCCTCCCCCCTCCCCCGGACTTCCTTGTGCCGGTTCCCCCCCCGGTAGACCCCCTCCCCCCTCAGGTTCCTGCCCCCTCAGGTGTGTCCCAGGTAGACGCCGTTGACCCGGTCGAGGTTACTGGTGACTCTAGTGCTACTGCGGGTGCTGAGCCTGGGGGTGCTGACTCTGAGGGTGCTGTGCGCGAGGGTGCTGAGCCTGGGGGTGCTACTGCTGGGGGTGCTGGGCCTAGGGGTGCTACTACGGAGGGTGCGGAGCCTGGGGGTGCTGAGCCGGGGGGTGCTGTGCCTGGAGGTGCTGGGTCTGGGGGTGCTGGGTCGGGAGCTGCTGAGCCAGGGGGTGCTGAGCTGGGAGCTGCTGAGCCTGGGGGTGCTGCGTGTGGAGCTGCTGAGCCTGGGGTTTCTCCTGCTGCTGCGTCTTACCGGGAGCCCCTCTCTCCACAGGAGCTGCGCGAGTGGTTCGCTCGCCGCTGGAGGCGTGCTGCTGAGTCTGGAGGTGCTGCTGGAGCTGGAGCTGGAGCTTCTTCGACCAACGAGGGTGCGGGTGCTGCCGGTCCCGGAGCTGCTGGACCTGCGGGTCCTCCTGGAGCTGGAGCTGCTGAGGGCGTTGGTGCTGAGCCTACTACTGTTGGTCCTGCCGCTGGTGGTGTGGGTGGCGCTAGTGCTGTCGTTGAGGGTGCTGGTGCTGTCCCTGCTGAGTCTGGAGCTGCCGCGCGGCCTCGGCCGTACTTCGTTCCGCTCCTGCAGCAGGTTCTTGGTCTTTCTCCTCCAGTAGAGGGTCCACCGCCTGTCCAGTCGCAGTCCCTGCTGGAGCCTTCCTCTCCACCGCCTGCTCCCTCTCCTTACACTGGTCCTACTGGAGGTCTTGCTGAGCGTCGTGAGCCTGCGTCTCGTCCCGCGTCGCCTGTTCGTGCTGCTCGCGCTAGTGGTCGCAGTTCGCGTCAGCGTCCTCCTCCTGTCCCTGGCACGCACCGGATGTCTTTGCGTCCGTCCACTGCTCCTCTGCGTGCCCCTTTGCCTTCTCCTCCTGAGTCCTCTCTTCCTGCGCTTGCCGACCCTGAGTCGGACTCTCTTCGTGCTGCCAGTCCTACTGCCACGCGTCTGCTTGCTACTGTTGTCACTGACCCCTCTTTTGAATCCACTACTGCGTCTGCTCTGGTCGCTGAGCTCGTCGACTTTGCTGCTCGCTGTCGTCTCGACTACGCTGCTAGTCTTGTTGCTGAGTCTGCGTCTGTCTGTCCTCCGTCCGTCGGGGGTGAGTGTGCTCTTGGCACGGACGTCCTAGAGGACAGGCAGGAAGAGTTACAGTGTCTAGCGGCTGCTTCACCTCATCTCGCGTCTGTACTGCTTGCCCCTGAGGGAGACCCGGATGCACTAGACATCCCAACTCCGCGTTCTTACGCGGAGGCCGTAGAGGGTCCCTACTCCTCTCAGTGGCAGGCAGCTATGGATGCAGAGATGGCTTCCTGGAAGTCCACAGGCACCTACGTTGACGCGGTTCCCCCTCCTGGGGCGAACATCGTCAGTGGCATGTGGATCTTCAGGGTGAAGCGGCCGCCGGGCTCTCCACCTGTCTTCAAGGCACGGTACGTTGCTCGTGGCTTCAGTCAGCGGCAGGGAGTTGACTACTTTCAGACCTTCTCTCCCACCCCGAAGATGACTACTCTTCGGGTGCTGCTGCACATAGCCCCTCAGCGCGACTATGAGCTTCACTCTCTCGACTTCAGCACTGCGTTCTTGCAGGGTAGCCTGCACGAGGAGATCTGGCTTCGCCGTCCACCTGGCTTCACTGGGACTTTCCCTCCTGGCACCCAGTGGAGCCTCCGACGGCCAGTCTACGGTCTCCGCCAGGCACCGCGTGAGTGGCACGACACACTAAGGACGACGCTTGCGGCTCTTGGGTTTGCTCCTTCTACTGCTGACCCGTCGTTGTTTCTTCGCACCGACACTTCCCTGCCGCCGTTCTACATCCTCGTGTACGTCCACGACTTGGTCTTTGCCACAGCGGACACTACTGGACTCGCCTACGTGACGTCCGAGCTGCTGAAGAGACACACGTGCACAGACCTGGGTGAACTGCGCAGCTACCTTGGCTTGCAGATCACTCGGGACAGAGCACGCCGCACCATTACCTTGACTCAGTCACACATGGTGCAGCATGTCCTTCAGCGCTTCGGCTTCACGTACTCCTCGCCTCAGGCCACTCCTCTGCCTACTCGCCACTCACTCTCAGCTCTGCCTTCGGATGAGTCCGTAGAGTCGAGTGGTCCGTATGCAGAGCTTGTTGGCTGCCTCATGTACCTGATGACCTGCACACGACCTGACCTTGCATACCCTCTGAGCATTCTTGCACGCTATGTTGCTCCTGGGAGACACAGACCAGAGCACATGGCTGCAGCGAAGAGGGTATTGCGCTACCTGTGCAGTACGTCGGGCATGGGGCTAGTGCTTGGAGGGCGGAGTCCAGTGGTCCTTACCAGCCACGCGGACGCTTCTTGGGCTGACGACCAGGCTACGCAGCGGTCGTCACAGGGTTACACCTTCAGCCTTGGTTCCGGCTCTGTCTCGTGGCGGTCTACTCGCTCGTCTTCGGTTCTCGGCTCCAGTTGTGAGGCTGAGATCTACGCCGGGGCCATGGCTGCACAGGAGCTTCGCTGGCTCACCTACCTGCTGATTGACCTTGGAGAGCCGCCTCGTTCTCCTCCAGTGCTGTACGTAGACAACAAGGCCATGCTGGCCTTGTGTCGAGAGCAGCGCTTGGAGCACAGAACGAAGCACATTGCTCTCCGCTACTTCCTTGCTCGTGAGCTGCAGTAGCGTGGTCAGTTGCGACTTGCGTACGTGGCCTCTGAGGCCAACACTGCTGATGTGTTCACCAAGGCACTCGCGCCTTGTGACCATCAGCGCTTTTGCACTCAGCTGGGTCTTGTGCCTGTCTTGCCTCACTTGCTCTCCTCTTGACTTCACTTGTACTGTGACATATATATATACCTGCTCTTGCTTGTCTAGTTTTTATATATATGTCTGTACTCCTGCATGTAAACTGGCCTCTGGCCCTGCTCTTGTGCTCGGACTGTGTGGTGACTTTGTGATCCACCCTGAGCTTGCTTTGCTTTGCTTGACTGGTCTTGTGACCCCTTGTTCTCCCCCACTTTGCCTATGGGGGTGTGTCAAACATTATATATGTTATGCTTGTGTAGGCTACAGTGGGTTAGCCTATAGGGGGTACACAATTCTAGGGTTTCCTACTTGTACTCATTTCACTGCTAGTTCATTCATTCCTGTTCGCTTATTCTCACAAACATTTCAGGGTAACACATGTTACAGCATGTAACACGACGTACACTGTTTTCAATACACCACATATTTTGCTATAATTAATATCCAGCGAGGTTTTTCTTTCCAATAAAAATAATAACAAAAAACACAAACAGCGGCAACAAACTGTGGCATCACATGGGAGCAAAACCAACAGCACACACAGTGTACACCCCATCATCCTCATCTTCCTCGCCTTCCACGCTTGCATCAACATCTGCAAAATCCATGTCCTCCTTCTCATCCCCCACAATCTCCTCCGGCAGACCCCTCACTTCCTCCAATGGTGGGTACTTGATGAGGGACTGGGGGAGGGGCGCAAAGCGGAAAGGGCGGAACAAAAAGGGGATGGGGGCGGATGAGTTGAGCATTTGACGATTGATAGGCGGAAAAACGGTAGCGACATCAAATCAATCTCACTGGCCATCCCCATCCCCATTCCGACTTCCCCTCTTCTCCCAGTCCCCTTTCCCCCTCACCTCAATGAGGCTCGAGCCGTCCCCCGTTCCGCACCGCCCGCCGCACTCCCCCATCCGCGGAGCTTGTGCGTCCTGCTCTGCCATGCGCGAGTAAAACGAATCCGCGCCACCCACAATATAGCCACCCTCGCTGCCGTGAATCGCGTCGAGCAGGCGGTGGTCGAGAGTGTGGCTCTCCGCACGGGCGAAGTAAAGCCCGCGAGAGGCATTGCGCCCTTGATGGAGAGTTGGAGACTGGAGGGCGGCGGCGAGGGCAGCCCCAGATAGCGCGCTGGGGGAGATGGGGAGCAGTGAAGGACGGGGGAAATGGGCGGGAAGCAAGGGAAGGGGGGGGAGGGGGGGAGGGGGGGGTGGGGAGGGGGGAAACGGGAGGGAGGGGAGGCGGCTGTGAAAAGGTGGGCCCAGCAACGCCAAAAGCCCCCTCTGCTACCCTCACAAGCCTTCATTCCCCCCACTCCCTCCCTTCCGTTCCCCCCATCGCACCACCCGCCCGCACTGCAACCCTCACAAGCCCCACTGGCAGCAGCACGCACCCAAGTAGTTGATCTTCAGGCGGCCATCGGAGAAGCGCTCCAACGCCTCGATGTAACTCATGCCGTAGAGCGGCAGGTCAGCACGCAGGAAGCGCTGGGAGCCGTCATGGTTGTTGCCTGCGTCCACCCGGGAGTCGCCATTCACAAAGAGCGCTGTGATGGTTAAGAGTGTCGAGCAGCGCTGCTGGTGTGAATTGGGGGAAGTAGGGAGGGAGAGGGGAGGGTAGTGGTCAGGGAGAAGAAAGGAGGTGAGAGAGTGGGGACGAGGGGGGGGTGGAAGGAAGGGAGGGCACGGCGTGGCAGCCCTGAACGACAGCATGGAGAGATTCCTCAAGCAATGCGCAAGACCCCTACAGACCCACTCGCTCACCAGCCTCACTCACTCCACCGCCCCACGCTACCCAGCGACAGCACACCCCCCTGCATGCCATCGCGCCCCATCCCTACTGCCTGCATCCGACACTAGCGGCGTTGCGCCACCTCTCTTGCCCCCCTGCTCAATCACCTCACATGCCCCACATACACCTCTCACCATCTCTCCCTCGCTCCCTCTCTCCTTCCCCCCCCACAGCCCCTCCCCACCCCACTTCCCTCCCTACTCCAACGCCACCTCCCCTCTCTCCCCTCCCTGCCCCTCCACCACCGACTTCGCTACGCGCCTGCGCGCTTCATGGGGGCACCACTGCCGCACACCGTCACCGCAATTGCGCCCACCACGACCACCGCTGCTCCCAGCGCCAGCCGCACCACCGCCAGCCGCGCTCTCCGTGGACGAAGCCGGCAGAGGCAGCGCGCGCTGCTCCGCGCAGCGGCGGATGCAGATACCCCCGTGCGCGCACCCACCATCGCGCAACAGAGGTCCGGCGGGTGGGCGCGGGAGATCGGCGGAGGCAAGAGGAATATCCACCGCCGTAGAGACACGTGCTACGCCACCCCTCACCATTAGAGAAGCTCACAGCGGCAACGGTCTCGCGTACCTCGTTTGCGCAGTCGTAGTCGAACGCGCGTACCCGAGTAAGCGCGACTCGCGCTGTATCGTGCTCGAATAAAGAGGGGAAAAGGGATAAGGGAGGAGAAAAGGGGAAGGGAAGATTAAATAAGGTGAGGAAAGAGAGAAGACCTGAGTGTCAAGTTGGAGACTGGAGGGAGTAGCGAGTCAGTAGCGAGTATAGCCACAGTGCATCTCGAAATACATAGTACTCACTCCCACTGTCCAAACCACCCCCCCCAAAAAACAAATTTGGGATGTTCAATTTGCAGCCCCGCCATCACTTCAACGTCGCGTTGCCCTCACTTCCCCATCGCGTCGCCCTCACTTCCGATGTTGAGACATTTCCAGCGAGCAGCAGCGCGCATGAGAAAGTTTAGCAGAGGAAATGACTCAACAATCTGCAGGCCCGCCGCCATCACGTCCCCGTCCCGTCGCCATTGCCCGTCCCATCGCCATTGCCCGTCCCGCCGCCATTGCCCGTCCCGTCGCCATTGCCCGTCCCGTCGCCATTTCCCGTCCCGTCGCCGTCACTTTCTTTTTATGTTGATTTTGAGAATTCTCAAAATCAGCCTTCAATCTGCAGTCCAGCCACCATCACTTCCCCGTCGTGTCGCCCTCACTTCCGCCTTCCCATCTCCCTCACTTCCCTTTCTCCTCGCCCTCATTTCCCCTTCCCGTCCCTTCAGCTCCCCAGTCGTCCACAAATCACCTATCCTAAGCCCTCCCCTTTCCATCCGTTTCCCCCCTGCCTCCATTCACTTTCTTCCCCCTGCTTTCCTTCACTTTCCTCCCTTCATCCCTTCCCCCCTTCCTCATTTCTGTTTCCCCCTTGCCTCCCATCCGTGTCCCCCGTGCCTCCATTCACTTTCTCCCCTGCCTCCATTCACTTTCTCCCCCTTCGTTCCTTCAGTTTCATCCCTTCCTTCCTTCAGTTTCCCCCCTTCCTCCTTTCCGTTTCCCCCCTGCCTCCCTCCGATTTCCCCCCTTTGTTGTTCTCACTCCCGCCGTCTAGTCTCCTTTCACACACTGCTGTTTTCGTTTTGGACCCCACTCAATCCCCCTTCACTAACCCGATTTCTCCCTTGCTCGGCTCACTCTTTCCTTTCCCCATATTTTCTTTCCTCCTCTGCTCACTCTTTCTCCCTCCACTCACCCAAATGCTTCCCTGGACACTCTCTCATCACAAACTACCGGACCTTGGTTTGGTCCAAAATAAGTCCAAACTTGGTGTTTTCTGCCAAAATCAGACAAACTTTGGTCCATTGCTTTGGACCAAGAATGGTGTGGCTGCATACATGAACTCAGCCCTAATTTGACATAAAACAGGGACTAAATACTACATACCATTTCAACATCAAGATGGACCAAAATCAGTCCAACATTGGACAAACCTGAGCATGCCATATACAGGGCTTTCATGCCAGTCTGGGCTAGTAAATTTGTTGCAAATGAGAATTATATTAAACTGTATAAGTTCAATCCAATACATAAAAAGGTTATTAAAGTTCTACACCTCATCTAGTTGTTCTACACCTAACCTACCACCATCCACCATCTACGTCAATCAAGACTAAATCAAACGGCTTCCTGCCTACCGGCTACTACACCCAACAGCTTCATTCGTTGCTTGAAACTACTCTTCACCTCCTCATTCGTTACTACTCCCATCATGGCTCCTCGCAACATGGCTCCTCCCAACATGGCGCCTGTCCATCACTACTACATCCGAATGCTTCTCCGATCACAGCAAACTACATCCAGCATGTTGCAACTGTGATCTCTCGTCTTTGCTACCTCCAACCACTATGCAGCCCGTCGCTGCTACTCCTAACCACTTTGCAGCCCATCTCTGCTGCTCCCAAACACTCTGCAGCCCGTCTCTGCTACTCCCAACCACTCTGCAGCCCGTCTCTGCTACTCCCAAACACTCTGCAGCCCGTGTCTGCTACTCCCAACCACTCTGCAGCCCGTCTCTGCTACTCCCAACCACTCTGCAGCCCGTCTCTGCTACAACCAACTGCTCTGCAGCCCTTCTCTGCTACTCCCAACCACTCTGCAGCCCTTCTCTCCTACTCCCAACCACTCTGCAGCCAGTCTCTACTACTCCCAACCACTCTGCAGCCCGTCTGCTACTCCCAACCACTCTGCAGCCCGTCTCTGCTACACTCAACCACTCTGCAGCCCACCTCTGCTACTCCCAACCACTCTGCAGCCCACCTCTGCTACTCCCAACCACTCTGCAGCCCACCTCTGCTACTCCCAACCACTCTGCAGCCCACCTCTGCTACTCCCAACTACTCTGCAGCCCACCTCTGCTACTCCCAACCACTCTGCAGCCCGTCGCTACTACTCCCAACCACTCTGAAGCCCGTCTCTGCTACTCCCAACCACTCTGCAGCCCACCTCTGCTACTCCCAACCACTCTGCAGCCCACCTCTGCTACTCCCAACCACTCTGCAGCCCACCTCTGCTACTCCCAACCACTCTGCAGCCCGTCGCTGCTACTCCCAACCACTCTGGAGCCCGTCTCTGCTACTCCCAACAACTCTGCAGCCCACCTCTGCTACTCCCAACCACTCTGCAGCCCACCTCTGCTACTCCCCCACACTCTGCAGCCCACCTCTGCTACTCCCAACCACTCTGCAGCCCATCTTCACTGCTTCCAACCACTCTGTAATGTGTATCTACTACTTCCAGCCACACTCCAGCCCTTCTCTACTACTTCCAACCACTCTGCAGCCCAGCTTTGCCACTTTCCAACTTCATTCTGACTCTGTAGCACGTTTTTGCTACCTCCAACCACTCTGCAGCCCATCTCTACCACTCCCAGCCACTCTGAAGCCCATCTCTGCTACCAGCTACCACTCTGCAACCCATATCCACAACTTCTAACCACTCTGTAGCCCAAGGTTAATGCTTCCAACCACTCTACTATGTCCCATCATGCTCCAGCTCTTTCTACTTCCAACCACTCTCCAGTGCAACTCTACAACTTCCAGCCACCTTGCACATCCCTGCTACTTCCACACATGGTCCAAATCCCTCATGTGCCACCATTCAGGGAGGGGTTGCGCGAACTTGTTGCGCAGTCCTCGAAGCTGCCTGCCTCCGCTGGAGGGTTTATACAAATAGGAAAGATAACATGAATTAGTACAAAAACATATCAAACAAACATATTATTTCATATCAACATCATCCATGCATACTTACAAGGTACTCTTTCACCACCGACTCGGAATCCGAAGCGTCAATGTACACCGCATTCGGAAAAACGAAGGGGTGCATGCTCCTGTCATACGCAACTCCGAGGTCGAGCACAGCATGCTCGACCAACCTCTTGACACGAGCGCACATGACCTCATAATTTGTGCGATTCGTATCCCACTTTGTGGGAAGCTTCCCATCTGGCGCATTGTGCAGCAACGGCCACTCCACCTGACGATAAAAGGGGCAAAAAAAAGGGTTCAAGCAAGCATGTGATCAAGGTGAAAAATATGATGTTGGGGTTATTGGCTAACAAGCTTCCATTAGTAAGGATGTTGGATTATGTGAATCCTACTTTGCACAACCATATAACCCTGAACTAATTATGGGTAACTTTGTATACTCACAGCATACAAGATCCACGCCAACTGATGGATCTTGAACTTCTCAGTGTTGACGCCTCTCCTTGTCAGGGCTAAGCGGACACAAACTGCGAAGATCTGTGTCGAGAAAGGCACGCCGTTAAGAAAATGCCATGCTAACGTCCCCTCATCTATTTGAATAAGGGTGAAAAGGAGAATGGAAACCATTTGAGAGAACGGCAGCATGTGAAAGAATCGCAGTATTTGAGAGAATGGCAACTAATGAAAGAGTGACAATGAGTGAGAAAAGTATGACCAATTATGTCAACCTGTGACATGCTTGACAATATGTGAGGAGAGAAAATGGCACCATGTGCAGACACCATTTCAAAGCAAGAATATGCAACACAACATAAAAAAATCCAAACTCACCATCCATGTACTTATCAACTAATTCCTGATCAGAGTAGAAGATATCAGGCCGTGGCAGCTCCGGAGGTAGGTTGTTGACATAGCTTCGCGCTGCACTGCGTCCAAGAGCAGCCAGCAAATACTTCCGTAGAAAACCATCGATAGTTGTCCGCGTCGTTGACATCAGCTCCAGAAAGACCCCGCGTGTGGCAGGGTCAAGGTGCTCGAACAAGACAATCAATGTCTTCAAAGCATCCGTTGGCAAAAACTGCTTGAAACCCAGCTCCATTGCCTCCCGATCCGAGGGATAAAACTGAATCTGGTCTGCTGCGTTGGTGTACATCAAGCGCGTTGCCACACGTTTGGCTAGTTCCTGTAAAAGATGGGTTTAGGGTACATAAGAGGTAATACCCTAAAACATTGCATTTGTTCAAATCATGAGGGCTAAGGATGGGTTGGAGCCTAGGGTTTAGAACACCAGAGCAAACTAAGGGATGGGCAAATAAAAGGGCTAACAAAGGGGAGAAAAAGTACAAGGGTGGGGAGAAAGGGCAGTAGGGTTGGACATAGAATGCAACATAGAAAGCAGCACAGGTTTCTAAACATTACAACAGCTTAGAACAAAACACCATAAACAAGATAAACAATGCCGTATCAACTTTTTCATAATACAATCCCCATGCGAATTTACACCCCATTTCCCCATGCCTCTTTACAATCCCCATGCCTCTTGTCAAGATATACTCACCCATTAGTCTTCCACATGCCTCATGACGATCGATTTCGCCAGCAGAACGGGACTCTCGGTGGAATCCGAGTCAGTTGACATTGCAGGGTTCACCGCAGGGACGGATCGGGCAATCACAAGTGTTCCTTGAGATGGATTTGACAATCCGCTCGATGGAATTCCTGCCACCAATTCGCGTATCGCTGCTAACTTCTCCATCACCTTGCCTTCTAGCGCAAGGAACTCTG